CACCGCATAAAGGATGGTCTATCGATGTGATCGGGCCGGCAACTGCCAATCGATCGAACCGAAGGATGCGAGCGATCAAATACACATGCAAAAATGAATGATTTTGTTGCAATTTTGAAAATAACCTATGCGGTGCATAAAATAAAAATGTGAAACACATGCAATATAAGATTCGATTAGATTCAATGACGAATTATGCTTGCCTTGGCGAACTCACGAGTAAACCTAAGGGGTAATCTACAAAACGAGGTGGGCGTCGCACAAAGAGACAAGCGCCAGCCTCAATTTGCCCAGTACGAAGAAATTTTGTGGGGAAAATCATTGCGGCGTAGAGAATGTCAAATTCGTGGGACTTTCCATTCTCTACGCCCAAACGACAGATTTTGCTTCCCTCCGTCATGGCGACGAAATCACCGACGCAAACACAGAGTTACAATGACCCCAAGCATTGGGAATTTGAGCTAAAAAAGAAAAGGGTAGGTTTTTTGCATGGATTCGCGGGGGAAACACAAACGCTCCTAATCCTTAGAGGGTTTCCTCTAATAAATCAAAATCCTAAACTAACTTTCTTACATCTAAACCAAATCGTCTATAGGAATGAAAATCGCAAGGGATTAAGGAATTTCATCTTCGTGACAGTTGATCGAAGCGTTTCTTCTCGTAAGAGGAAGCTCTCCTCGTCGGAGAGAGTGACGACGATGCCGCCAGATTTTTCCTTGATGAATGGATTCCTTCCTCCCAAGTGGTGAGGAAGCTCACTTCATTGGAGAGAATGAGGAATTTGCTGGAGTTTACCTTCCCCAAAGCAATGAAGAAGCTTTCCTCGTCGACCTATCAAAAGGTCTCCGAGAAACGACCAGAAAAATGGAAGAACAGCTTGCCTTGGCTTCTCTTTGAGAAAGAAGATCAATTTCTTAAGAGATCTCCCTAGAAGCTCCTTCAAACCTCCCCTTGCTCCAACTCCCCTCCTTAGCAAATGGCAGCCGATCAGCTCAAATGAGCCTTTCCCCATGGGTTATTCAGCTATAGAGGTCCAAGGATGCTTTCCCAATTTGGAATGACCCCAAAATATCTCCGACACCTTATTTGGGTGAAAAACCAAACAAAAGGAGATGGATTGGAGGGAATCCGGGGACTGGAGGGTCAAAATTTGCAAGCCAGTCCCGACTGGCCATGCTTGGGCATGGTCACACCACTGTTCAAAGCGTGGCAGATGGAGGCCGGGCGTGACCATGCCTGAGGCCCAACAAAATTACGTCGGGCGCTCTGTCTAGGATGTGTGGCCTCACCACTTGCTGGCGTGGTCACGCCGGTTGACAAAATTGGGCGCCTGCTAAAATTTAGGCACGCTTATATTGGGTCATAAATATGTCGTAGCCTCTTTTTGGCCGGCATGGTCATGCCTGCTTCGGGTGTGGTCGCGTCGGCTACAACACATTTGGGTTGTTTGGGGTGGTTTTGGGTTGGCCACATCCGGTTTAGGCATAGCCACACCACTAACTAGGCGTGGTCATGCTGGGTGCTAGAAAAATTAGGTTTCTGAAGAAGCTTGCCAGAGGGTTTTGTGCCTTGTGGGGCCTCAAAAGGATTGAATTTGAGCAGATAATGATCCTTGGACCTCAGTAGGGATCGTAAACGCGTCTCAACAGAGTTTGAGAGGCTAAACCGTCGTAACCGTAACTATGGCATTTGAAACATTCCCTGATTGGTATAGTGTTGGAGGCGCTACCTTTCTCCTGCTTCTTGCTCTGATTCAGATTGTTATTCCCGTGTCCGACCTGGCAAGTCCCTTCCGAGGTGCCCTTGTCGGTTGTGGTGCTGTAGGCGGTTGCTTGCCTGAAGGTTGTTGCCTAAGGGATGGCTATTGCATGCTTTGCTTCTGTTCTCTTTCCACCTTCCATGCAAATGTTTGGACATCCCATAGCGTCCACTATCGCTGCAAATGTATCACATTACTGATGGCGGGTTTCAGACCCACGAGATGTCTATCTATCATATGTTTTTCTGGCTTCGTCATATTGCATTTAAGTTGCAAGTGGTCAAGTTGGAGCGTAAACTCCTCAGCTGTAAGATTTCTATGTTGCAAGTTGTGTAGTTTCAAAAACATATCTTAGCGATAGTGGGGTGGGAATTACTTTTTCTGCATTGCCTTCTTCACCTTCTCTTTCACCTTCCCCCACCTAGTAATCTTCTCATTGTCTTCTCTTTTCCTCTACATTTGTAGATTTTCACACCATAAGAAGACATTTTCTTTGGTTTAATGGTAGCTAGCTTGAATCGTTTGTCCTCTGACACATCTTTATAATCGAAAATCCGCAACTGATTGCAGCCAATCGATAAACTCATCAGGATCCAACCTCTTTCAAATTCTGGCAGGTCCATCGTGATGTCAAAGTCTCGCTGACCTCCATAAGGGACCTCTTCTCTCAGCCTCCATTGATATTGAATATCAAAACGATGTGGTTGATATTCGTCGTCACTGTGATCTTCCCTGTGGAACGGATTCATCTCCTCGTCCCTATCTTCTCTTTGACTTTCTCGATCACGGTCGAAGGTAACATCCTCTTGGTTCCCGTCATTCAACTCTGCAAATCTCCATTGTAGAAGACAAATTTCTCGTTGAATCTCTTCCCGGATCAAGTCCGGCGTACCTCTTCGCGGTAGCCTGACTAGGGTTGGAAATCATAAGGAAAAATTCGGTGGAGGTGGCTTGGGTAGGGGAAAATGCTAAGAAACTCTAGGACTAGACTAGCTCTGATATCAAATGATGCCAGAACTAGTAGGAAAAAGACTGAAACACAAAAGCAATCTTTCATTTTGGGGTGAACAGAAATAACAACACAAAATATAAAACAACACAAGTGAGCACTCTTACATGCATCTCAATGGGTGGTGGAGGTCGGCTAGAGGGATAGGGAGTGAAAGGAATATGCGGAATTGTATGGACAAGTGGGAAGGGTTGTAGGTGATCGGCAACGATAGTGTGGTGGTTGGGTGAAGCTGAAAGGAGTTAGGGAGACGGGACAACAGTAATAACCTGTAAGAAGAGGGAATGGCTAAGTGTCGGGGTGACAGGGAGAATTAGGCAGCTGAGGAGTAGGGAGAAGAAGGTATGAGGACGTAAAAAAGGGAAGATACAATCACCAACTCGGAGAGGAAACAACAGAAGCAATACCGCCTCCTCATATACAACCCACAAAGAGAAAAAAAACTCCACATAGAAATCTGAAAAACAAACACAAACACTACTGACTCCCACAAACACAAGGCCAGTAATTAATAGACTCCCAAGAAACTTCTACACAAAAGAAAAGAGAGAGAAGCTAAGAAGGATCAAGAAAAACCCTTCTGAAATTCCTAAAGGCGCTGCCCCCACTGGTTCACGAAGGATCACGGGGCATTGAGTGAGAATTGCGATCCTCAGTTCCCATGAGTCTTTGCGGGTCTTCTAGCCCGCGGAGTTTGAAGCGCCCCGTAGCGGGGGGCATTTAGCGCCCGTACTCAGATGTTGATTTCATCACCCATCTCAGTGTCGTAATCTTGCTCTTACAAGTGGTGTATTTGTACCTTTCTAAAGTACAGACGGCAAACTTATGACATTTAAATTGCTCCAATTCTCTCAACCGGACCAGATTCCTTGCTATTTTTAAAGCTAGACCGCATTTGCTATCTACTTTTCTTCCTCTAGTTCTCGTCGAGTCACATACTCTTACCTTCCTTCATCCTACAACACAAAAATACTTATTTCGATCCTTTTACACCATCTAGGCAACCAAGAATGGTGTCACACCACTTTGCTGCCGATTCATTTTGTTGGTAACATCACAAAAAGGCACCCAACAAGCCACCAAGGCAATAAACTTAGATATGTATAACCAGCATTTATAAATACAATGAAGCACCCAAAGAAACTTGACTGTAAAGGTAACTTAATCTAATACAGGACAATTTGTAGTCAGAAGTAGGAACTCACTTTATATGACTAACAAGCTGATATACTTTTCTGTGGAGGGGCATACAAAAGCTTTTCATTAAGCCTTCCAGATTCAATTTATGAAATTAAAATAAGAGATACCGACCCTATTACAGCCCTGGAACTCTAAAGCAATTCAAAAAACTTATTCTAAGCAATTCCAACAAATAGAAAGCTGTTAGAGAAAAATAATGATGAATAATACCAACGCAACATGAACTTGTAACAAGGCCAAGAAAAAAGTTATAAAAATACAACACCAACAACACAAACAAAGCCTTAATCCCACTACGTGGGGTCGGCTAAATGAATCCTTTTTCTCCATTGCGTCCTATTTAGTGTTATATTTTCATTTAGTTCTAGTAAATTAAGATCATTTTTTATACAATAAGCCCAAGTCTTCCTAGGTCTACCTCTGCCTTTCTTAACACAAGTCAAATCTAAAACATCTACCCTCCTAATCGGATCATCAGATGGTCGACGTTTAATGTGACCAAACCATCAAGACGACTTTCTCTAATTTTGTCTGTCACAGGAGCTACACCAACCCTATCATGCATATATTCATTCCGCATTTTGACTCTAAGTGTAAAGCCACTCATCCACCTAATCATTCTCATCTCGGCAACACTTAACTTATTATTATGCTTCTTTTTTAAAGTCCAACATTCAGCGCCATAGAACATTGCAGGTCTCACCACCGTCTTATAAAATTTTCCTTTCAGTCTTAGCGGTACTTTTCTATCACACAAAAAAAGTTATAACAATAAGTAAATTAAAATTCCAGCGTGCTTGGCCTCAACTGAAACAAGTTGGACAGAAAAATTGAATAACAATAGTTAAGCACAGTTGTATTAAGCATCAAATTGGCATCAAATGATTGATCTGTTTCATGAAATGGATAAAAATACAATTGCAATAGGAATGAAATGTCTCTTAAAGAAAAGTCCTTCAGAATTTTGAGTAATCAGAAATATTTGGATACATACACAACCACAAAATATAGACTGTTAAAGCTTTGTTTTACCGTTTGTTTAAGTGAATTCTGAAATCTACACCATGAAACATCTGACAACTGTGATTGCACATATTGCTGTAATGTAGTTACAAAGTGATAGATTTGTTGCCTGCAATAAGAACAGCAAATATTATAAGTTACTTCAAATAACAATTCACATATCATAACGAAGGGGCTGATGAGAAAACAGAAACAAAAGCATTCCAAGTCTGAATCAGATCATGGAACTTTAGCTCGCCTAAATTTGGCTACAAAAAAGGGACTAATAATATCATTATCATCAGCATGCCGATGGCTATCATTAGTTCATATATAATTGTTTTTTCTTTACCATGAACTCTCCCCTCTAAAAAACTGAAAGCAAATCACATCATCATTGTCAATAGCCTTGCCCCAATATTTAAAATTAAAATGAGAGAATAGTAGAAAATAAGATTTTTTCATTCCATGAACTTTTTTATTACTTTTTAAAATAAATTTATTTTCCATGAAAAACTTCTGAAATCACCTATTCGACCAAGATGTCTTCTCATTTGCATATGATTTATTTCTAGAATCTCCTACAATTTATATGACAATCTTCTGATTAAAAGTTTGCATACACTAATAGAAATTATGTAAAGATTTAGTAGAAAATAAACCAACGTACTAATCCTTCCCACATACTTATTTCATGCATCATTATAATTGTAGGTGTTATTCACAAAAGTATATCAACATTCAAATAGCTCTTAGAAATCCTATGTAGCGATGTTTGCTCAATAAAAAATGCATCTGATTAATCATTTTTTGCTTCATTAATTATTTGCATTTAAGAACTTTGATATCTATTAAATTAGATTAGGAATTATTTTTCAACATTATTTAGGACATTTAAATTTTAATGCAATTTTAGTTTTTATTTGGACTCCTTTGTTTAGAAGTCGTAACTCCCTCTACATAAGGAGATCGTGACTAGAGCTTTTATGAGAGCAAAGTGTCATAATAGTCTCTTGACTATTAAAGTGTCAAATTGATCCCCGACTTATTAAATTGGAGCTTTAACAGTCCTTCATATGAACTATTTTAACCCCATTTTAAATTGTATGAGACCAATTTGACACTTCTATAAACTTCAGGACTAAAATGTCCCCATGAAAAATCAAATGAAATTTGATTTCTTATGCCTCACTACCAACTCCTTTTTCTCTGGTCTCCTCTTCCTCTTAATCTTGACACATTATCTCACCGTCCCTTTAAAATTTTCTCAACAATTGTTCGCCTGTTCCTTTTTATTTTTTCATCATTTCCTTTCTATATCCACCGCCAAATTTCTTGAAGTAGCATTTAATCTAGACCTCATTCCTCCTTGATCACATCCTCCCATCCACTTGTGAGCACCAATAGATTCATTCTTGCCATTATGAAAAAACACACAATCGTGACTAACTTCATCTCTATGCTCATGTCAATCTTGCCCATTCATTTTACTCTCCTATGTCATTCCTTACGTTTTGACTACAATTATGTTCAAAGGCGATCATTTTCATGGCCAACCACACTCCCACCACGTCCTACAAAGCTTGCTCTCATGCGACTTGCATCCATCATGCTCCATACAAAACCACATGTGTGTCATTTTCTCACAAAACGTCATCCCACCAGTGTGCTCTGTCGACCGATAAAATTCATCATTTTAAAAATATATAAAATGTAGTTTTGATTTAATATATATATATATATATATATATATATATATATATATTGATTTTTTAAAATGATATTTTAATTTTTGAAAAATGAGACTAGATGAATCTCATTCAATTAATAGTTTAAGTAAATGAGCACAACACCGCAAGTAACACACCTATCCTAAGAAATAGATACATTATTTGGTGGCGAGACTCGATTAAATAAACTAATGAATTCATGACATTCGTTTTGGTCTGCGTACCTTTTATTTTGACCGAAAAGTTCTCCTACCTAATATTAAAAATTAGATAAGGTTTATATTATTTGAATTCTTAAAATTCTCTATAGAGGCAAACCCCTATAGTTAATTAACTCTCAAATGACTGAAGTCACTTAAGAGAACTCTCGATGATGATCAGAGATATTTATCTTCATGAATTCAAAGTTTAGGGTTTCCAAAGTTGGACAAAGAAAAGTCAAGTGAGAAAAGGACCAAATGAGAACATTTATTTCTGGAGTAAAAAGAAAGAGAAGTATGAGATGTCACAGATCCTAAGAATAGCTTCCCAAACTATCCTATCATTTGGCTTAAATTTGGAGAAGATGTTATTTAATTTTTTATCATGTCAGCTTTATTATTTAGGGCTTATATTTGCGTGACACAATCATACAAATGACCTCGAAGATAAGAGAATTTACGTCGTATGGATGAAGACCTCGGAGCCTAAAGCGAGTTAAGGTTTAGATTACACAACATGATTGTGCAAATGCATAAAAGATAAGGTGAGGATTTATGTTGCGCTAAACAAACCACCTCGAAGTCCTGTGGCTAGTTATTTAAACTACGGAAATATTTAGCTGATGTAGATTTGTTTTGTTGTTGTAGATCGTCATCCTCCGTCTGTTGCGGCTTCATTGTGCTGCCCACAAAGATTTGCTCCATGCTCCATGTCGTAGCAGTTTCAAGTTTAGGGTTTTATATCTTATGTTTCTTTTAATTTCAATCATTATTAATCCAATTAATTAAAGGGTATGTGTTTAGATTTTATAATGATCCACCCTAGGTAAGCCGACTATTGTTCTCTATCATTAAGGTTTTGCAATTAATTTAAAGAATGTATAAACAAGATATGCTATAAAGAAGTGTAGTAAAAGAAAACAATGTGAAGAGCAGAAAAAAATAGTAAAATGTGCAGTAAAGAAAAACATTGAAAGACGTATTAAAAAAAAAATAGTAGTGAAGAAAAGACGGTAAAATGTATAGTAAAAAAGAGGAATAAAAGATGCAATAGAAACGGTAAAATGCTGTAAATATAAAATAAACATGTGTATCTGACGGGTTTGCTGCTCCTAAAAATGGGATTAGTGTCGCAGGTAAAAGTAAACAAGTATTGCAGAAAATTCAGCTAGCAAGGCAAAAATGCGTGTATATGTAAGAGTTTAATGACAAAGCATGTCCCGGAAAACTCGAAGAAAATCGCAAGTGACTCACAAAGTAAACTCGAAAACAATCGGAAGAAAATACAGGGAAACCCCGAAGAAAATAACAAGTGAACTATAAAAAACCGAAGTAGAATATAAGAATTCAGGTTTGGGTCGGCTCAAATTTTAGCATTCCTGAGGGACTCCAAAGGCAACAATCGGTCATCCACGTGTATAAATGTCGGCGTTTAAAAGGGGGGGAGTTACGTTTGGGGGTCGCCCGTAAGAAGCTGTCGGTCGCCGGAATCGAAATCCCGTCACCCGCTTCGGAAGGACTTTTTAATTTACGTATATATATATATATAATTTTAGAAAAATA